CGCCTCGTGTTTTATACCCGATAAAACACCCCTGCTCGTTTCTTAAACAGTACTTTAATCCCGTACTAGCTAGTCACTCTAAATGTTATTGTTATAATAAGATTCATTTTATAAAGTTTTAATTCTAATTTTTGGCAGGAAGTTGAGAAAACAGAATTCCAATTGACAGCAGATGAACTTGATGGTTTTATTTCCGAAGGATCAAATCTGTTATTACAAAGAGTGATGGTCAAGAAAGGTGTTCCACAGGGAATTGTCTTTACTACCTTTGACACGGATACTCATCTAAGAACATCAACTTATGTGAGTAGAAAAATGAAAAAGAAATGAAATGAAATGAATAAACCTGTCAGTTCAGACCACATGTCATTCTCTTCGCCGGCAATTAAGTTGTGTGAAGCCCCGTCCGGATAAATTTGAATCCGCAACTTTATTTATCCAGTTAGGCCTTCCGTCCACACTAGTCCGGGGCGAATCCGGAACAATTCTTCACTGAAAACGAACTTTTCCGAATACGGTTTCCAGAGTGGAACAATTTGAAAACGCCGGCTAGCCGTATTAGTATGGACGGAGAACATTTCGTATCCGGAACTTTTCGAATACGATGACGTCATGATTGTCATGGGAACATGGCGGGAAGGCTAACGATTCACCGTGGGCTCAATTTCAGCTTCGATGCGCATGCTCAGATGTGCAGTGAAACGTTTTTGCCGCCTCTGATCGGATTAGTGTAGACGCGAAACATTTTATCCGTTTTCATGTGTGGACGGAAAACTTTTTTTTCGGTTTCAGTGTAAAAGTTGCGGATTCAAATTTATCCAGCATAGTGTGGACGGGGTCTAAGTAAACCCCTTGCAGCACGTCGGAATGCAGCGCGATTTGAGGTCATAACAATATAGCTGTTTAGTGCGACGTAATTCGAGCGAAAAACGACTTCCGGGTCCAAATTAATCATAATTTCTACAGACATTTTTCTGTGTTTTTTCTTCGTAGCATGATTTTCTGTTCATATATCTAATTGTTGAAGGTAGAGAATAAATCCTGGGAATAAGCTGTGGTTTTTTTTTAGCGATCTCTTGCGTGATTGGACCCGGAAATACGTCACTACCCAATTCTCTCACTCCCTGGGAATGATCGAAAACCAGRAATTGTTCGTTATTGCAGGAGAGAGGTATTACATTGTTTTGTTCTTTCCTAGCGCTCTCTTGGGGAAAAAACTGAAGCAATTGCATCTAAACAACAGACATTAATAGGAATAGAAAGAACGATTGATTCAGTAGATGACAGCCCTTCTACATGGCATGCCTACTTTCTTACCTCTGGGTAGGTATTAGACAAGTCCACCGCTCTTCGAGACGCACATAGTAGTTTGTTGTTGTCGAGAGTGGTCGTCTTGTTCCTCTTGCAGGATTTTCATTTGCGTTTCGCGCCAATAATGGCGTGTATTTACACAATAAAAAAACTACACGATTTGGTAGGGTAACTAGAATTACACAGAGTAATTTTCATCTAGGCCATTCTTGATCAGAATTTTAATTTCTGTAGCACGTGCTAAATTTTYGTACGTTTCTAAAGAGCGCGAGCATAATTCAGGGACCGCTTTTAGGTCGCTAAAATTGGCGGGAAGCAAGTTGGRAAAGTCCTTCGTACAGCGCGTGTGATCCTGGTTGGGCTGCCTGTGCTTTATTCTGCGCGCGTGAACTAATACGGAGACGAAGGACTTCGCGAAAATCTAGTTAGGTATTTTTTTTAGCATGCGCGGATGATAATAGTGCGTCATTTCCGGTCGTACAGGTATCTACGTTTTGAATCGTTTTAGTGTGGACGGGTGAAAACGCTAGGAGAACGTGTGTGCACGCGGAACTTTCGATGTGTTTTTGATGAGACGAATGTGGACGTGGTTTAGAAAATAAGGCAATCAATCAGGAAAATAGGAAGAGCTAGTAAATACATGGAATGTGATATATAAAATTGCAAAAGAACTAGTAACAGGGTTCTATAGATTTAGATATTCTAATCTCTGCDTCTTTTGTTTTAAAAATTTAGTCACTTAGCGTTAAGAACACAACTTGGATCACAGGTCAAAATGAGTTTGCTGAACCTGCCCGGACCAGGACCAGGACCAGTTCCAGAGGATGGTAAGCTAACTAATGACTATACACGTAACAATTAATGCATTTGCCAGCAAACTATGTTGCTTAGGTGTTTCGTCCGTCCGTTCATTCCTTCATCTAATCATCCATATATGCGTTCAACTTTTACGTGTTATTCATTCATTTAATTTCTCCCTCAAAATATTTACCCATCCTTCCTTGTGTTCTTTTTCTGATTTTAATGATGTCTATCAAAGAGTCTTTAACAAATTACCCCCATGGGCGTTTTTTTTTTTTTTTTTTTTTTTTTTTTTTTGCTGTTGTAGAGTTACCAAAATCAACCACTGAAGAAAAGAAACCAAAACCTCTTAAATGGGACGAAGACATGCAACTATACTCACGTTTTTTAGACAGAAAGGTAAAAGAAAGGCGTGACTATTGCCACCATTTATTTAGATGAGCGATGATGCTTTTTGAGGAGAAGGAAGACGAGAGTGTATAAAGTTTGAAGTCATTCCGATAAGGAAATGTCCATATTCTTGACGAGAATAAGAAGCAGTCATTCCAGCTATTCTTGAATCGTGGAATGTCCTATCTCCTATTGCCCATCACCAATTGCCTATCGTCTTTGGCGTTTTTTTGGAATAGGCGTATATTAAAGGCGTGTAGATCGTTGCTATGGATCTTTAGGGATAACTTAAAGTAAAGATAAAAGAAAGGCGTGATGATTATTATCATCGCTGTCGATAAGGGTTAATGTTCCAGTATAGGGTAGTTGAGTAAAGGCGAAAATGAACGATACCTTTTTTAATCCAGGCGGAGCTTTCAGATGACCACGCAACTTACATGAGACGTCATCCCGAACTCCGCGCACTGTTGGCAGACTTCTTACAGTTTTTGCTGCTCAGAAAACCCGATGATGTCTGTGAATTCGCCTCAGATTTCTTCTCTGCGTTCTCTTCTGGATCCCCATCAGGCCCTTCATTTGCCCGATCTGAACCATCACAACCATCACAACCATCACAACCATCGCCCGCCGTACCATCGCCCGTACCATCGCAACCATCGCCTGTACCTTAACGCCATGATCCTCTCGTTTCTTATACAGTTTGTTAGCCAGATGTGTTTATTTAGTATCGYTTTTCAAGCCAATAGATAAATATTATAGAGAGTCAAAGTCTATTCCTTTTGTTTGAAAGGAAACATAATAGGTAGAGGTTTTGAGTTGTATTGACAGTATGTTTGTTTAAAGTACCATATTTCCTGTATTAAGCTCCTAGCCTATAAGAAGCTTTCCTTCCCCTTCCTTTTAATACACCACTGGTCTGAGGCGCCAAAAATTAAATAAGCCCACAGCCTTTACCACTCTTTTCACTGCTTCGCRCTGATCAATACAATAGTCGCAACAGGGAAATAGGGCAATACACTGCCGCCAATCAGAGAATATAAAKGTACCGACCAATTTRTTTGATTGACGGAAGTGTGTTGCCCAATTTCCCTGTCTCGACTGTTGTCTCGATCAGCGCGTAGCAGTGAAAAGAGTGGTATATAATGAACGTTGAAACCGCCACTTCTAAGGAACSTTGTGGTCCTTTTCCTTTGGCAGGTATTTGAAAGTCGTTTTACCTGTCGAGATTCTGGATTAAAGTAATTCTGAATTTCCAAAGATCAAGAAAATTTATTAATTTCTAGCTCCCGGTCCAAAAGCACTGAAAAAGAATAAGCTCCCACGGAGCTTAATAGACAAAACACGGTATGTTCGAGAGATGTGGACAGTATATGAACAGTACGTTTGTTTCTTTAAATTTCGGAATGCTGTGGAAATCTTTCTATTTATTAATGGATGACAGAAATGCAGTGTGAATACTGGTTTCCCATTTAATCCACTTATATCCACTATTATGATATTACGATCACCATTTTATGTATACAACTCTCAAACTACATGTTGACCTTTACCAGGGGGAGGAAACCTGGAATTCTTACTAGAGTAATTGCCATCATAAAATACAGGACACATGGTATCATGGTATCCAAATAGCTTCTGTATTCAAGCATATTACGAATTAGTAGTGACAGATTTTTCGTGATGTGGTTTGTGCTCCTTAACATATTACCACCATTCCATACTCAAGAGTCAAATGATTCTAGATTCTAGAGAAATGCCTTTGCCCCTTCCTATTTATAATAAATCTTCCTTGAAACATCTTGTAAGTAATATATTGGGACTTGMAATATTCTTTTTGTTATTTTGTACGACGTCTTAAATTAGAGCGTTTTGCTCTATGAGGTTTGAAAGTTTATTAAATACCGCWCGATTGGCCTTGGAAGGAATGACGSCCCTGGATAGGGAAGGAATGACACCCTTGGAGAGGGAAGGAATGACACCCTTGGATGGGGAAGGAATGACAACCCTGGATGGGGAGGGAATAACGCGCGTTTTGTTGGACTTTTTTTAGGAGAGCATCATTTCACTGACATTGCATTACATTTTAAGGTAGTTTACCTTGTGCGAATGAAAAGCTTAAGGTGACTGCCTAATTTTGGAAAAAATATTAAACTTTTTTTAAAACTTCGATTTTCCGAATTGAAATGTAATGCTGATTCCAAATCTGGAAAGAAAATTGGGTGTCCCSAGCTYGTTTTCGAGATAATCAGCATTTAATGGAAGCTTACGCGCGAGCTTTTGGAGCAAAAATTGCGCCACCGGAAGTGATTAGAAAAAACTAAGATTCATAAGATAATAGTTATTTGCAGACTGCACGAATGAAGCTAAGGCTAGTCAATCATTCTACAATAATGCGTGGATATTTTCGACAAAAAGACAAAGAGATACATTGATTTGTCATATTTTGTAGTTTCGGTGCTCTTAAAAAATCTCGTAAAGTCGAACAAAATTTCCTACAAAAATCTATTTTTTCGTGTGTTAGAATATTTAACTTTTTTTAAAATGTTGATATAACTTAGATTTTTAGGAATTTTTTCGAATAAGCTATTAAAAAATAGAGTCCCGTGCAAAATTTGAGGGTTTTGCCCTGTTGAAGCTCAAAACGCGTATGGTTCTTCAATAAAATCTTKTAGATTTTTCAGCGGTTTTTGAGCGCGCGCACATCGTGGGCTCAAATCGAACGTTCAAAAGTAGGCAGCCACCTTGAATTAGTTACTCCTTTAATTTTGAAAAAGAGGGATTTTTAATACGACTAGCACTGAATAACTATTAATTTTTTCTTTTTTTTTCTTCAAATATTAATACTTTTTGCTTATATTTTACGAGAAGACATCCTCTTTTTCGAAAAAAAATTCACAATTCCTGCACACGACAAATTTCTGCGTGGAGCATTGATATACGTAGTAATACTATCGTGAATGAGCTCATTGGAATAAAGACATAATGATATGCCCATGAGGCCGAAACGTCAATCAAACAGGCCAAGAACTTTCACAAAACGCCTTTGGTTGTGTTTTTTTTTTTTTTTTTTTTTTTTTTTTGTCTTCTCTTTTGCTCAATTGATTTTTTTTCCTTCTAAACATACTTGAAATGGAAAGGAAACCAGATTTAGAGCGTGACCAAGACCTCCAGGTTGTTATTTTGTTTCCTTTGCTCCAGGTCATTAAAAACTGCCTATCTTTCTTCCGACATGGATAGGCGTGAAATAAAATAAGGACACTTTTCGTTAAAATTCCATAACTATAGCCGTCACGCACACCTCGTACGCAAGTCCTACATATTTTCATTTATATTTTCATGACAGTCTCGACAGAKAAATGGCCTTTTTACTATGTATACACTTATTTCAATAAAAGTAGTCATCGCAAAACTAGGCGGCGATAGGTCATTCCTACATGGAAATGGTTTCGTGTTGAGCGAACAAAAGAACATTGAATCAGCAAAAACACAAGTCATCCYAGCTATTCTTGGATCTTGGAATGACCTATCTCCTATAAATTGCTTATCTCCTATCGCCTATCGCCTATATCGCCTTTGGCCATGACAACGGTTATTGAAATAGAGGTGTATATGAATGAAGTGGACCGCGCCAAAACTGAGTAACAATTAGATATATATGCTGTTAAGACACTAAAAGGTTTGGAATTCTAGCTAGTAGGCATTCGAAAATATGGCGACCAATTTGAATAACGCGTATTGTTCTAAGGAATGACTATCCTCTCATACACGAAAGACTTTTACTTTTCCCCGTGAACATGTCATGCAGTAGTCGAGAACAAAAGTTATTCAAATTGCTCGGCATATTTCGATTAGGTGTATATTATTTCAGAATTTAAACACGAAYCCCTTTTTCGTTTTGTTTTAATTCAATTTCTTTTTGAACTATGTTTAATTTGTATTCCCTTGTGACTATAGTTATACTTTAGAAGGTGTGATCAGTAGCACCACYTGCTAGTCCCATACTCAATCATCAAGAAGTTCATTATAGGCTTAAAAATAAAATTGAAATCACAACTTTGATTGCTGCTATTGTTGGTAATCGTGAAGATTTTAAGGCCTGTTTATATTAATTGTTGTTCATCAGAATCATTAAAGAACATTACTGACATCGTGTTGATCACCCATGACAAAACACACGGGCGTTAGATATGAGCAATTCAAACGTCATCTGCTAGTTGTATTCTCCCACAAGAAATAGTTTTYACGAGAGATCTCCTGTAGGCAGGCAAACGCCATGCGTATATAAACGCATCAAGAGAAACCTTTAAAAACAACATCAGATCWGTAACTCTTAAAGCAATATTTACATAAACATCCTCTCGAACACTCTCTGGTGTTTTGAGAAGAAAAACATAAAAAACGACAGTGTGCGAAATAGAAGACACTAATAATATCGCTGCCAAATAAAAACTCATTATTGCAAATTGCCTTTCCACGGGAGGTTTCTTTCTACTTGCTTTATGATAAAACGAGTGTCTTAGTGTTTTCAATCGCAATGAGAGGCACTGCCGTGGAGCTGAGTTGTGTGCATCATTTTCTTTATCGCCTTCTCCTATGTCTTGATCAAATTTATTCAATCCATTTGCGTTATTATCTGTGTCTATCACTGAATCTTCTTTGCCATTCCTTTCTTGGATTATCGYGTTAATCGGTTCAATATCATGATGGTAGGTTGTGCTGTAGTTATCCCCGTTGCACGGATTAGTTGCATCAAGGTTAGCTGTTTCAACTGGAGTTAATCGTACGTCCACAGACGTATTGTTATTGTGATGTAGTGGACGCTTGCAGCTTATTTCATCTTGTCCTGATAACTGAGACAACATAGAGCTTCTTTGAGTTGAATTGACTTGAATTCTTGAAGAACTTGCAGAAACTGGACGGATAGTCAGCGATGAAGTCACCTCCAAACGATTAGTACCCTCATTCCGGGAGCCTCTGGTTTGTCTTGAGATTTGAGAAGTTCTGTTCCTCGCGGGTTTGGAGACGTGTTTTTGGAAAGCTTTTCTCATTAAAATAAGAACAACAATGAGTAAAAACGATATCAAAGTYGGGTGTAGAATAACATCTAAAAGAAGAAATCTTTTCCGACTGATGCCAGTGAATTGCAGCATACTGAACCCCAGAAAATACAAACCGCTTATCCCAACCAGTCGAATCACTCTTTTTGAAGTAACAATCGTCTTGTACTGATGTGGATAACGAATAGCAATATACTGAGATAAAGACATCGCTAACACAATAACGAATGATGTACTGATAGCTATAGTAGAAAGAGTTCCACCGATATTATAGATCAGCTTTGTAAYTTGAAGAACATCTGGACCAAAATTTAAATAGCGCAAAAAGTAATGGATAACAAATGCTGGCTCGACTAGTAATCCTGTAATAAAGTCAGCTAATGATAATCCAGCCACGAAAAACGTCGAGGCACTCTTTCTGAAGCATTTTAGGGAGTCTCGATACAAAGCCAAAAGAAAAATCCCATTCGTGAAGACAGTTATTGGCGAAAGAATGACCAAAATAAATGCAGAGGAAAATTCCACTTCTACGTAGATAGCAATAAGAGCAGCATCGTTGACGGATGTAGTAGGTTTMCTTGACGTTATTGAACTCCAATTCAGTGAATTCGTTAATCCATCGATGCTATTATTCCCTAGTATATCTGCCATGTTGCCTGGTTTTCTTAACCTTCAATTTTTGACTTAATGAGTTATGACGCCAACACGGGGYGGTTGTCCTATCGCTGACTAAAAACCCTTTGCCCGTCTTTGAGGCTCTATTTTGGTGGAATTCCAAGAGAACTAGCGCAAACTGAAAGATGGTTAATTCTCTTTGCTGGTTAGGGAAGAACGTGCTGTAATCTAAGCCACAGGCCTACGATATGGTAATAGCTAAAATGTAATGATACTTCCGCTTGTTAGTCAGTTTGTTCGTCTGATTAATCACTTCGATTCCAAGATAAAAATTCCGAAAAGTGGGCCCCAAAATGTCCCGGTTTTCAGCGACAACACAGGAGATAAAGATTACAGATAACTCGTTTGCTACTTTACCGACTGACTGACACTATTTGTTGTTTCTTCGCTGGAATTTAACAGAGTGCATTAGCCCTGATAGCCATGGCGCACTGTCATGTCTCAAAGCAGCTTTTCATATGACTAATAACAAATAGCATTTGGTAGCTTGTGACATCACTTGAATTACGCAGTTGAAAAAAAACCAACAGTATCAGTTTTGTACCGCGAGATGATTAAGCCATCAATTATGTGCTTATTTTTAAGCCGATTCTCTTCGAGTAGGTCAAAGTAAAAATGAACAATTCCTGTGTGTTATGTTATTTATTTTTACTCAATTGGTCGGCCTTCACTTTAATTTTAAAAATTTGCTTTGATGTGGSCTGTACTTGCGAGAGAATGTAATTGAAATCTAGAAAACCTTTTTCATTCACTATCAGAGTCTAATTGATTCCGTTGCTCAAAAACCTCAAAACTTGTACTATTCTCCTTGATCGGCTCTTTTATTAACTCCAATTTATTTTGGACAGACACTGAAATAATCAATCGCTCAACTTAAAAGATGGGTTCAAAGGGAAAAAGAAAGAGCGGCAGTGGAGAGAAAAAAAGAGAAATGATATTTTTAATTGCGAWATTTCATCAGTTGTTACAACTAGTCTGATACAACTCGTACACACTAGCTATCTAATATTATATAGGATATGTAAAAAAATAATACCATAAAAAAGATAGCCTATCGAGGCATGGTTGATTGCGAAGAATAAAACAACATGTGTTGACGCACAGATACTGTGGCTGAAAGATTGTACTATTCATCTTTGATAGTATAGATTTTGAATAACTCTATATTCCATTTMCTCCGTTTTTTGGTTTAAACATTACTTTTATATACGGTTATTTCAATATATGATTATATATCTATTTATCTATCGCTACAGCACACATTTATGAAGAAATCTATTGAAGTTTGATCTTAAAGAGCACGCTTTCCCACCACTTGCTCATTATTCATCTCTTAATAGCTTGCTGACGTTCGTAAATACATCTCGTACGCATTTACTCTCTGATGATGAACCAAATAGGCCCGAAAGGTTGGATTTAAATGGATTTAGATTTTATGAGAACTGTGAGAGCCAGAGAGAGAGAGAGAAAGAAAGAGAAAGAAAGAAAGAGAGAAAGAGAGAGAGAAAGAGAGAGAGAAAGAGAGAGAGAAAGAGAGAGGCAAATTTTCACACTCACATGCAATCTTATTTTTGATTTTTAAGGAAAATTTGTATACACTTACTAAATTCACCTGGTGAAAGCCGGCGTTCCTAAAAAATATTTGTTTAATCCCTAAAATACAATTTATTGTAGTATTTTTAATCGCTTTAGTTTCCGTCTTCTTAAAAGTTGTTTTCTATGTGACCCACAATAACAGCCAACATACCGGAACATCAAAAGTGCTTTTAGGAATTGTACTTCACAATGGAACAATACTTTCTTGTTCTTAAATACCTTTTTGTGGGAATTTAGGTTAAGACAAAATATTTTTTTCTCTTTAATGTTTGTCGTTTTATATCCGGGCGATCACTTAGTGTTTTTCTTATAGAGTCGCCATTCTTATATACCGATATCAGTATAGAGTCGCCAATGATTACATATTTATTTGAATCAGTATTATTCACAGTATAGACAGCGTATCAAAAAATTACGTAAATATATAACTCCTGCATGATATGATAAAATGAAAATCACCGAGAAAAGACTTCTTATCTAACCAATCTCGAACGTTAATCAATACTAGATATCCGCATTTTTTCGACGCTAAGGGCGGCCATCATGGATCCAAAGCGTCATGGGGCTTCCAGGGTAACAAATATAAAGCTTTGTTACAGTAATGAAGTTCATTGGTATTATTAGCTCACCACAAGAGAATACAACAAAAGATTGAACTAAGACGGCACATCGATCACCTTTATCCGACGAAGGACTAGCGTGCGGAACGTCAGTACGTTTTTTCATCTTTTCACGGTGTATAATTTACCTTTTTATCATTACTGTTTCATTAGAAACACCGACGCAGCTCACACTAGTTTTTAGCTAGTTATCTCTTTTTATCCATAGAAGAAAAACAAATACACGAAACTCTATATATTTCCCGTCATCTTTATTTTTGTTTTGCCCCCCTGGCAAGATGGCCGCCGTGTCGTCGAAGTAGCCCATGGCGGTGTCAGTTAAAAGTTCTCTTCAAGAATTCCTATTGGAAGTATCTTAAAATTGCCACTTTTGGAATCTCGTTTAAGGTGGCTTCATAGTGTTTTGAGGTAATAACAAACAGTAGGAAAGAACATTCTATGCAGCTAATACAGACTAACACGTTGAGACCCGATAAGCCAACTATATTTAAGCTCGTGAGCTTAGGATTAATTTTTGTGGCTAGTAAGTGCTAATGGAAGCCACTGTGTCATCATCATTTAGGAATAGGTTTAGCTTTTTTTATTAAGAGAGAATTCTTTTCGTATTCAAGCAGTGAGCGCCAAAAACTATTTTCTTGAAGAAAGGCTGTTGTACAAGGCTAAAATCTTGTTATTCAGAAAGTTTAACTTGTTTGGAAGTGGAGATGACCGATAAAAGTGGAATCAAAGTGTTAATCCAAAGAAAAAATTTGAATCGAAAATGAGGTTTAGGCCTTCAATTGCTTATTTTCCATACATTTTCTACAAAAAAGCCTGACAAAGCAACATTCTAACACAAATGCAACAAAACGTCTTTGTACAATTGATTATACCGCTTCAAACAGGCTATGTACCCAGCCTGCAATAGACAAGACCCCTGGCTACAGCCCTGAATTGATCTCTTTTAAAGTTCATGGAATCATGATTTAAGGTTGTTTTTTTTTTGTTTGTTTTTTTTGTTTTTCTTCTTTTCTTTTTGATTTATTAAACTAGGACCATACTTCCAGACATCGAGTGCTGAACCGTCGTATGGCAGCGCGAAGCATTTACGGCTACGCCGGAGATTTCGACCCCGACACCGCTATCCGGAGATTTACAGACTGATCAGGAAGCTCGGCCGAAGCCTAAGGGAGAGGTTAGTCGGCCCCTAGACCGTAAATGATTAACCCCATGCTATGACCAGCATACTCAAAATTCTGATTGTGACTCTGATGGCTTTGAACGCATGCTCATTCTTTTCCATGTGGGATGCGTTTGGTAAAACTAAACGGAACGTGCATCATATATAGTAATTCGATCCTTTGACTTTTTCATATGCATATATTCACTCAGAAACTATTTATTTACACTGTAAAATAAATGAATATTCTAGAAAAAATTGTGTAGAAATATTATTTAAATTGTCTTCGTGATGGGCGTAACACCAATGGGGACGCATTGGTTGCACATGAACATGAAGTTCTCTTCAAGAATTCCAATTGGAAGTATCTTAAAATTGCCACTTTTGGAATCTCGTTTAAGGTGGCTTCATAATGTTTTGACGCAA